TTGGTGACGGCGACGTGTACGACCCAGACATGATGGATGGATTGGACGATCATTATCTTGATGATGGTCACGATGAAGATGAAGACGAGGATGACGAGGATGAAATGGAAGATGACGAATACCTCTACGATGACGACTATCCGTTGGACGATCAGCCTCAACCCATGCCAGCTCTTGGATGGGATGGACTTGGTGCAGAAGACGAAGATCGTCACAGACAGATGTTCGTGGTGGACAATCCAGGTCGCCGACGCTTTGTTCCTTCCCGTACCGTCGACTCACGCAGCCCCTTCCCCCCCGGCTTCATTGTTGGCCCTCATCGGGACGCCGTGGGTGGGGATTTTCGCAGCTTCTTTTCACGCAGCCATCGTCCTGGGGTAGGCCAATCTAATACTGACGATGGCACAAACCCACTCCTCAGACGGGGAGATCAAAACAGAGAAGCGTCTCAACCTGCCACCATCAATCACACTATCGGTTTGCGAGTTCCTGAAGCGATCTTTGGCTCAGGTGGACGACATATTGAGGGAACTATGGGCTTCCTTGGTGAACTAATGGAATTCCTCCCGATAATGGGGCGCAACGGACAGCCTGCCTTCCATCTGCAGATTACTGGTCCGCATGGCCATCGCGAGTCTAGAGAGCTTGGTGCCGTTCGAACCTCTCGTAATGAGCAGAGACGCGAAGGATCGGCTCAAGACCCATTACAAGCCGTGTCCTTTGCTATTGAGGGCACGATGGATCGATACCAGGAGGAAGCCAGGATGGTCTTTGGGACCGGCAATACGGCAGAATCGGCTAAGCTCCAGAACATTATCGTGGCTAAACTTACTCCCGCTGCGATGGAGCTAGAAAAGAAGCTAAAAGCCGAAGAAGCTGAACAACAGAAGCGCGAAGAAGAAGAACGAAAGAAACGCGAAGAAGAGCAGCGTCTGGCACGTGAGGCTAAAGAGGCTAAAGAGAAGGCAGAGAGAGAAAAGCGAGAGGCAGAAGCTCGAGAGGCAGCTGAACGTGCTGCTTCTGAAGCCGCCGCTAATCAGGACGTGTCCGCTGAGGGCCAAGGAGACGGAGGTGCGATGGAAGGCGTCGAGTCGACGGAGCAAAGCCGAGCAGAACGTTCGGAGCCCACAGTCCAGACCGCCGATGACGGGCCCCGTGTTATGACCACAATTAGAGGCGAAGAGGTTGACGTCACTGAACTTGGTATTGATCCTGATTATATCGCAGCTCTTCCCGAGGAGTTTCGCGAGGAGGTCATTGCACAGGCAATCAGCACCAGAAGGTCTGAGGCACGTGAAGAGACAAATGGGAACCCGACCGAAGCTTTTCAAGAATTCCTAGATGCCCTTCCTGAAGAATTGCGTCATGAAATAGCTCAACAGGAGCGCCAAGAGCAGCGCCGCCGGGCTCGCGAAGAAACGAATCGTCAAGCATCCGCCAGCACCGGCCAGGCTGTCATGCCAGAAATGGATACTGCCAGTATCCTCCTCACTTTCCCGCCTGATCTGCGACAACAGGTTCTTATGGACCAAGGCGAAGAACTCATGGATCGACTGACCCCAGAAATGGCGGCTCAGGCCCGAGCTTTGGCTCAGCACAACAACGGCCATTCCGTTATTACAGGCCGCAGCCCTCAAGCCAATACAAACCGCCAGCCTGGGCCACCTAAACCCCAAGAGGGAGCAAAGGCACAGCGCCGAACGGTTGTTCAGATGCTCGACAAAGCTGGCGTCGCCACGCTCCTTCGTCTGATGTTCATTGCGCAACAGGGCTCCATAAGAAACCACCTATTCAACGTATTTGCTGATGTCTGCGAGAATAAGCAAACTCGACTTGAGGTGATTAGCACTCTCCTTCAGATCTTGCAGGACGGTAGCACAGACATGGGGGCTGTCGAGCGCAGCTTCGGCCAGTTGTCCTTGAAGGCACGAAGACCTAAGGAGAAGGAGAAGGAGTCCGAGCAGAAAACCCCGCAGACCCTCAAGAGAAGCCTGACTGGTCTAGCCGCCGCAAACACTACACAAACCAATTCCGAAACCTCACCTCTCTTGATTGTTCAGCAGTGCCTGGATCTGCTGGTAGAGTTGTCTTCAAAGAACCCTCATATCCCCTGGCTTTTCTTGACAGAACACGAAGCCGTCGGCTCAACTCTCAAGCGTTCCTTGAGTCGCAAGGGCAAGGGCAAGGACTCTAAGTCTCACAAGTATGCCATCAACTCTTTGCTATCACTCCTTGATCGCGATCTTGTTATGGAAAGCTCTGTAGTTATGACTCATTTGGCTGATTTGCTGAACCGAGTCACACTGCCTCTTCAAAATCTTGAACGTCGTCGTAAGGAAGCCGAGGACGAACTGAAAGCCATTGATTCTAAACCGTTGGAAGAGATGGCTACAGCTGAAGATACTGTGGAGCAAGCTTCAAAAACGGAACCAACCGAGGCAAGCAACGTTACGGAGTCCAACGCCGATGCTAAAGAGGACGCTGTCACTGATGGCGATGCCAAGAAACAAGAGAAGAAAGATGCAGTTCAAAAGAAGCTCCGACAACTTCAGCCTCCTGTTGTACCCGCTCAGAACCTTACATTGACCGTAAGGATCTTTGTGGCTCGAGAGTGCAGCTCCAAGACTTTCCAAAACACCATCTCGACTATCAAGAACCTTTCAGCCATTCCAGGGGCTAAGGCAACATTTGGTCAGGAGCTTGTTCACCAGGCCCGGCTTCTCAGTGAGAATATCGTAGCTGATTTGGACGATCTTTTGCCACATATTGAAAAGGCATCTTCGGGCACTGAGATCCAAGGCGTTGCTCTTGCCAAGTTCTCACCAGGAGCGTCTGAGCAAAACAAACTCCTTCGTGTTTTGACGGCATTAGATCATCTGTTTGACAACAAGAAGAAAGGCGACGAGGCCGAGTCTAGCAAGAACAAGGATGAGAGACACGATCTAGTCACATCACTCTACCACAACTCAACCTTCTCGGCCATGTGGGAGAAGTTGAGCGCTTGCCTGAGTGCCATCCGTCAACGCGAAAACATGCTCAACGTGGCTACAATTCTGCTACCACTGATTGAGTCTCTTATGGTGGTCTGCAAGAATACAACCACCAACGATGATCCCGCACAGCAGAAAGACATGGTCCTGTCAAGTCCGCCACCTGAGTCTCGTACGGCCAGTCTCTTCTTTAGCTTCACCGAGGATCATCGACGTATCCTTAACGAGCTTGTCAGGAGCAATCCTAAGCTCATGTCGGGCACCTTCGCACTCCTTGTGAAAAACCCCAAGGTGCTGGAATTTGATAACAAGCGCAACTACTTTAACCGCAGCGTCCATTCCCGATCTGGCAGCAACCAGAGCCGACCCTCCTATCCTACTTTACAACTATCTGTCCGTCGTGAACAGGTTTTCCACGACTCATTCAAGTCCTTATACTTCAAGTCTGGGGATGAGATGAAGTTTGGAAAGCTCAACATTCGTTTCCATGGCGAGGAAGGCGTTGACGCTGGTGGAGTTACTCGCGAGTGGTTCCAGGTACTCTCTCGGCAGATGTTTGATCCAAACTATGTGCTCTTCACACCGGTGTCCTCTGATCGGACGACCTTCCATCCAAACAAGCTTAGCGGCATCAATGATGAGCATCTGATGTTCTTCAAATTCATTGGTCGCATCATCGGTAAAGCATTATATGAGGGTCGCGTTCTTGATTGTTACTTTAGCCGTGCTGTGTACAAGCGAATCCTTGGCAAATCTGTCTCGGTCAAGGACATGGAATCATTCGACCCCGACTACTACAAGTCTTTGTGCTGGATGCTGGACAACGACATCACAGACATCATCACCGAAACTTTCTCGGTCGAAAACGATGAGTTCGGCGCTACCACCGTCGTTGACCTCATTCCTAATGGTCGAGAGATTGCCGTTACTGAGGAGAATAAACACGACTATGTCCGTCTTGTTGTCGAACACAAGTTGCTATCTTCCGTCAAGGAGCAGATGGCCCATTTCCTTCAAGGTAAGCATATCTTATACGATAATTCCATTCAATCACTAATTTTCAACAGGCTTTCATGACATCATCCCTGCCGAATTGATATCCATATTCAACGAACAGGAGCTGGAGCTTTTGATTTCTGGTCTACCCGATATTGATATCGATGACTGGAAGAGCAACACAGAGTATCACAATTACACCCCATCTTCGCAACAAATTCAATGGTTCTGGCGAGCGTTGCGGTCTTTTGACAAGGAAGAGCGGGCCAAATTGTTGCAGTTCGTTACAGGAACTAGCAAGGTTCCGCTTAATGGCTTCAAGGAGCTTGAGGGCATGAACGGTGTTAATCGATTCAACATCCACCGTGACTATGGCAACAAAGACAGATTGCCTTCTTCGCATACCTGTTTCAACCGTAAGTAAAATCATCAACATCAAATTCGTACATTGACTAACATACAAAAATTCAGAGCTTGACCTCCCAGAGTATGAGAGCTACGACCATTTGCGTTCTCAGATCATGAAGGCCATCACAGCAGGCAGCGAATATTTTGGCTTCGCGTAATCGCCAATCTTTGCATTGCAGGCGCGTAGGGGGAAAGGGATTATAGATGGGGACACCAATGGAAAAGAGAGTTGACGTTTACTACGGTACCCAGGATTGGGTTTTATTAGCCTGGCCTCGAGATCTCATGGTCTTGAGCACTGGATGTAGCATCCTCGTCCGGGCTTTACCTTAGGAGAAGTGCAGGTCTCCTATAGGTTCCTTGGAACGAGGAGAGCGCACAGAAAGTAGATGATAGGCGAAGTTTCATGTATATCAATCAGAGTTTAATAGGTGATAAACCGGAAAACTACTCATGGTGTGTGCTGACCTTGGTTGCTCTGTGGCTCAAGTTGTGCTTGTCAGTGATGTAATTCACCCTCTGATTTCCAGCCATTCCCGTAAAAGAGAGTTATAAAAAATTGGTATAAAAACCATCACGAGTTATGATTAAGAACATGTTAAGCGACGAAAGGCACAGCACAGACATAGACACAGACGAAGGTTGCCGAGTAGCACAGGGTACGAGTGCATTAATGCATGTTCATATTTTCGAAATGTCTCTAATACAGTCGTGGTTGGCTCAAAACGAGCCCTATAGAGAATCCTCACTCCCAATGCATGCAAACCACAAGACCAAGGTATGATTCCACTTTTTTTTCATTAAACGCCAGAACCTTACTTGCGCATAGAGCTTGCTCGTCGCTTGCGGGCATCGGCCTTGTTGGCCTTGGCCTCGGCAACACGCTTGGCAAGGACCTGGGCGTACTCGTTCTAAATGTTGTGTTAGACGTTTGTGATAACTGTGTTGTTGTGAGTGGGAGTAACTTACGGCCTCGTCCTTGACCTTCTCGGCCTGGCGGCGCTTGAGGGCAGCGCGGTGGCGCTTGTGCTGGAGACGCTGAGGGGTGACGAGTCTCTGGATGCGGGGAGCCTTGGTGTAAGGAGACTTGCCCTCACCCTTGGGCTGAACCTCTCGTCGGATAACGTACTTGCGGACCTGGGTATCATGTAAGCATTAGTTTACTTTCAATTCTTGTGGTTATCATTGTTTAACTCGCTACCCCGTGAGTCTTCTTTCTTGAGAAAGAAGGTCAAGGGGTCCTCTCACACTCTACCCAGTCTGCCAGCTCCTCCACTGCAGCTCCGGGTAGGCGATGATCGAGTATGGGCGTAGGGAGAGACATACATCGTCATCCTTGGTGAGGCCGAAGAACTTGCGGATCTTGGTGGCGCGCTTGGGACCGAGGCGCTTGGGGTGGACGACGTCGGTGAGGCCGGGGATGTCAGCATCACCCTGCTTGACGATGCTGAGGGCGAGGACAGAAAGATCCATGCCGACGATGCAGCCACGGACAGACTTTCGCTTGCGCTCACCGGTGCGTCGGGGTCGGTAGCAAGAGTGGCCCTCAGAGAGGAGGAGGCGGACACGGGTAGGGTGCATAACACCCTGCTTCATGGGGAAACCCTGCTTGTCGTTTCCACCAGTGATGCGGAAGATGTAGCCCTTGAACTCATCGCCGATGGAGTCACCAGGAACCTCAGCGCCCATCTACCAAAAAACAGTCAGCATTTTGTCGGTCGGTTTGTGTCGACGAGCCGAGAGGTCGCAGGCAGGAGAGAATTTCGACGTACGCGCTTCTCCATGAAGACACGGAGCTTGCGCTCATCCTCAATATCGATGAGCTTCTGGCTGCCATTGGCAGGGTAGCTGATGTTCAACTGTTGAAGGGTAATGTCAGCAAATGTTTACTTTGTGATCTTCAATCGAGCAGGAGCGCAAGGAGGCCAGTCGACAGGAAAGAAAAATCCATTTCGAACAGTAAAAGGCTCTCCCGCAAACTCGTATCGACCGATTGTTGGTTGTTGCTTGTCGTACCTTCATTTTGCCAGTTGTGGTGGGTGCAAGTTTACTTGACCTGGCCTGCTGTGAAGTTAGTAGAGGATGATGAGGTTGGAAATTTCACAGCGAATTTCTGAGAAATGTGTGGGCAGGTGCGTCTCCTAGGGCTGTCAGGCTGGTGCAGGTCAATGCAGCCAATGAAGACAATCTTCACATCTCTCGGGTAAAGAAAAGTCCGACCACCACTCGGGTTAGTGAGACCCTAGAAGCGAGTGTCCCCACACAGTGCATATACGCAGATCACACTGTGGGCTTGCAGGCACGTACCCATCCGAACTTGGACTTCACCAATGGAAGCATTCTATCTCAGCTGAAGAGATCTGATACTGATACCTACCTAGTTGTTGGAACAATCTAAACCACACGAAACATCGCCACCCTCACCTTTTCTCTCATCATGTCCTCGGCCAAGCTGTATCCTCCAAACAACAAGTCACCCTCATCCAGTCCTCTACCTCAACTCTTGCAAACACCTTCAGGTCTAGCTCTCCTGGAACTTCAAGGAACCGTCAATCTACCCCAAGATGCCAATGGTGATGCACTAGGCGGCGTCCAAGTTGGAAGACTTGACTTCCCAGATTTCGTGCCAGATGCTGAAGGCTCAGCATGGATGAAGCGTGTTCATCTTTATGTTGGCCAGCATCAACGTCTCACCGGCGAGGTCAAAAAACTTCCAAAAGCAATGGCCGTGGTGCGAAAAAGAGAGAACAAGGTGATCTCCGGCACTGGGGGAGAAACACTAGAGCAGGGCGAAAATCTTGAGGTAGTTGAAATTGTCAAGTACAAGCTTATGTTTCCAAACCGACCAGAGCCTGTCGGAACAGCCAATGCGACCTGATGACCGTTGTCGACTAGAAGGTCAACGAAAAGGGCGTATCGTATTACGAATGTTGAGCGAGACTTCCGCATCTTATTCCAAGTCTATACTCAAATCTCCAATACCCTCTGGATCCGAGTGAAAAGCTCACCTATGCGTCCACTCCTTATATCGGCATTCAACTTAATTCTGCATCACCCTACTGTATATCCAGCCAAGGTCCTATCACACTCATTGGATCTCAATTGTTCAGTGTCATCACTGCTTCTATCCTGACGCAATCTGCAAAGGCCTTGTCCTTCCTAGCCCGTCCTTTCCGTAGTAGTCCATGGGATAGACACCCTCACCCCAATCTTGTCTCTCGCCCAACGCAACAAGTGCCTCATACGGCGTTAACAGCGGCCGCGGGAATGCATAACCCCAATCAATACTCAATCGAGGGCAAGCAACCTGTACCCAGCACTCGACATCCGACATGAGCGCCAATTTGCCCGGAAAGATCTCACTCAATAGCAGATGCACTATGGGAATGCCTCGCGCCTTGAGCTCTTTCTCGATGAGACCCAATGTATGCGGGTTGCCCTGGCGGCCAAGGGCGCCGAGAATCAGGCCCCATTTGCGCGCTGTACGAGCGCTATGGATGGCTGTACGACGGAGAGACTGCATTTCCTCATGGCCGTACGCCTCCCGCGTGAGCTTTCGAGAGTAAGGGTCGTATCGGTACGCTGGAATAGAAGGGTTGTGAATCATGATACTCTCAAGGTGGAAACGACCATCACCCAGGTATAGGATCAGATCGATCTTATCATCCTCTTTGAGACGAGGAGAAGTGCAGCCCAGGATTTCACCCTTGCTCAATGGCGCAATCTGGGGAACGAGAACACGGAAGCCACCGCGCTCGAGACTGCCTTTGACACCATGAATAGTAGCGTTGAACTGAATAGTGCCGACAACAGCTATGGTTTTGCCACTGGCAAAGTTGCGCTCAAGGGATGCTAGGAGATGCGTCGCATCAATGCTGATGTCGACAAAGACGTAGAGAGTCTTGATTGTGGTCACGTCGACAGGGATGAGGCAACTGTGAGCATAGTGTACCAACAGGTCACAGCCAAGGGCCCTTGCTGTGTAATCGTCGATACAGCAAGCGCCATAAGTCACATCGCCCATAATAAGCGTCTCGACACCAGGGCAGAACTGTGTCAAGATATCTGATATAGTAGTGGCAAAGAGTAAAAGGCCTTCGGGCATCTGCAACGCAACTCTTTTGGCGTTTGAAGTTTGAATGCGATGGATCGTCTTGGGGATCTCAAAGTTGTAGTTAGCAGGTAATAACGCAATGGCAGCCTTCAGATCAGCGTTCTCAAGAATGTCCTTAGGAACTTGGTTTAGAAGCCTGGGAGCCCTTCGAGGTTTGGCAGCTGTAACAACATGAGTATATCTTCATTCATTCATGAATTAGGTTTCATGATGAAGAAAGGTGTTTTCACATACTCTGAACAGCACCACTCTCCCCTGATGCTCCCGATGTTCCATTCTTTGCCGCGGCCTCAACTGCTGCTCTTCGTCCTACGAATCTCTTCTTTGGTTGCTTCAGTGGCGTTGCTGTCTCTGGCTCATTTTCGATGGCGGGGGATTGACTGGCCTGAGCGAGCTGAGCCTCTTCGATGTCGGCTGCTGTGCCGAGGTCTGTTTGTCTTCTATCTTCCTCCATAATGTGCTCGTGTGAGAAAGAAGGGCGATGTTCTCTCCACAACGATATTCTCTTGAAATAAAATGAGACTTCTCTTACATAGTACGTGCAAATTCGAGTGAGTACAAACCAAAAAAAAGAAAAGTTGGGCGCCAATGTGCGTGACTTGAATTTTCGACACTGTAAATCCACTTTCTTCCATGCTCGACTTCTTCATTGGTTGTCTGAATCCAAAGAGAAGCCATGACAACCAGCCAAGCTTTACTATGGTATATTCTCATCATGATAAGTCATGCCTCCTTCTTGGACTTAGGTAAACGATCATATTACAACAGAGTCAGGTTGAGGATCGGTTGAATTGCGTTGGCTCGCCTCCCTATCTTCGCCCATATACCTACTCTTGCTCTGCTCTACAGCTTCCTTCAACAGCGTGAAAACAATCAGCTTAAAACATTTCTCTGTCTGCTCTTCATCGGCCTTGTGCGCGCGCTCATTATACTATCTATCAAAATGGCGACAAGTCGTCCCCTCATGCGTCAATAAGGTTCTCTTCCGTCTGCTGCTGGCTTCGGGCCTCAGTGTCTGCTCGAGCCTTACCCTTGGCCTTAGACTCCTTGGCGGCTCGCTGATAGAACTCGTTAAGAACCTTGGCGGGAATACGGTTGAGCAACTCCTTGGGGTAAATACGGAGAAGGCTCCATGCAAGGTCCAGAGACTCATAAATAGATCGAGATTCGTACTGGCCCTGGCTGATGAACTGACGCTCGAACTTCTCCAAGAACTCGAGGGACAGCTTGTCCTCAGCAGACAAAGCCTCCTCACCAACGACAGCCTTCATGGCTGCGGCATCACGACCAATAGCGTACTTGGCGTACAGTTGGTTGGAAACATCACCGTGGTCCTTTCGGGTCATGCCCTCACCAATGGCAGACTTCATCAGACGGGACAGCGAAGGCAGAACGTTGATGGGCGGGTAGATTCCACGGTTGTCCAGAGCTCGGTCAATAAACACCTGACCCTCGGTAATGTAACCTGTCAAATCAGGAATGGGGTGGGTGATATCGTCGTTAGGCATGGTCAGAATGGGAATCTGAGTAATGGAACCATTACGGCCCTCGACACGACCGGCTCGTTCGTAGATGGTGGACAAATCAGTGTACATGTAACCAGGGTATCCACGACGACCGGGAACTTCTTCTCGAGCGGCTGAAACTTCTCGGAGAGCATCACAATAAGCAGAAAGATCGGTAAGGATGACCAAAACGTGCTTCTCGAGTTGGTAGGCGTAATATTCGGCAGTGGTAAGAGCGAGACGAGGAGTAATGATACGTTCGATGCTGGGCAGGAATTAGTACATGTATCATCGTTGTGGATATGGTTTGCAGCTCACGTAGGATCGTTGGCGAGGTTGAGGAAGAGGGTAACACGCTCCAGACTGCCGTTTTCCTCAAAGTCGCGTGTGAAGAAACGGGCAGTTTCCAAGTTAACACCCATAGCACCGAAGACAATCGAGAAATTCTCCTCGTGGCCGTCATGAACGCCCTTGTTAGTGATGCCCTGCTTCTGGACGAGGCCAGCCTGTCGGCAAATCTGGGCAGCGATTTCGTTGTGAGGCAGACCGGAGGCGGAGAAAATGGGAATCTTTTGTCCTCGGGCAATCGAGTTCATGGTGTCAATGGCAGAGATACCTGTGGAGATCATCTCCTCGGGATATTCCTATATCATGGGTCAGATTATATCTACCATATAGCGCTCAAGGGTAGCCTTACACGAGAATAAGGGTTGATAGGAGAGCCGTTGATGTCAAGATAATCTTCAGCCAACACCTTGGGACCCTTATCAATAGCTCGACCGGAACCATCGAAGATACGACCAAGCATGTCTTCGGAGACACCGATTTTCAAACTCTGGCCTGTAAACTGAACCTTGGTCTGTGGTCGTCTTAGCTTAATATTCTACCATAGAGCTCACAATACCGCCTACCTTCTTGACATCAATGCCGGAAGTACCCTCAAAGACCTATATAATCGTCAATCGTCATATCATATCGCATCGTATCTATTGGAGGTACCTGAACGACAGCTCGATCACCTAATAGTCCATATCAGCATATTCCGCGTCGTTGCCTCAAAGATGCCAGCAGCTACACTAACCTCGAGCTTCCAAGACTTGACCTGAGCGCTCAGTGCCATCGGGAAGAGTGAGTGTCACGATCTCATTGTATCGCGGAAATTTAACCTGTTTTGGTTGTCAGCACGTGAGTTCCAAGCCGGCTCAATTTTGGCAGATGACGATGGCGTACATTATCGAGGATGACGAGGGGACCGTTGACGCCGCCAACGGTGTTGTATCGAATTCTGGGGATGACCGAGTACGACGACGACTCGCGAGGGTCCGCCATGATGGGCGATGGATCGGTAATCGGTCGGTTGAAGGATGGGGCAAAAGAGAATATAGGAGCCGATCGCGAAGCTTGGAGATGAAGTTGGGAGAAGGTCTCAAGAGGTTGGAGGAGGTTGAGCTTGCTTCATACAAGTGGGGCCTTTCCAGCTGCGCCAGCCCAAAGACGACGCACGGCCGATAACCTCACCTCCACATGGGAACGTTTCTACGACATCGGTGACATCACATGACATGCGCGGAGGTAAGGTAACTTGAACGGTTTAATCATCAACAGCATTAGTCTGTCAGCTTTATAGAAGAAACTTAAAATTTACGGTGTTTCTGAGTACCTAGATAGTTACATGTCTCTTCTGACTATGCTCAGCGAGAACAACACAGCAACAAGCTTCCCCTTAGCTTTCCTTCGCGCTTCGCATAGCTCGAGCCCGAGCTCCAAGAACTGCTTTACCTACTGTACTGCCATTCTCCTTGCCCAACTCCTTTGCAATCCATTCCCCAATGTCAGACATGGCATCCAGATTAATACCAGTGTCCATGCCCAGAGTCTCCATAAAGTAAACCATGTTTTCCGTTGAAACGTTGCCGGTGGCGCCAGGGCTGTAAGGGCAGCCACCCAGACCACCAACACTGCTATCGAACGTCCGAATGCCGTGCTCTAGGGATACAGCAGTGTTCACTAGAGCTTGGCCGTATGTATCGTGGAAGTGCATAGCAATATCCTCGGTTCGAATACCAGCTGCAGACATACACTGGAGGAGAGCTCCCGTTCGAGGTGCCGTACCCATACCTGTAGTGTCGCCGAGTGAGATCTCATCTGCTCCGGCCTCCAGAAGGTCTGTGGCAATCTCAGCTACTTTGTGAGGATCAACATCGAACCCTTCGAATGGGCATCCTAGGACTACAGAGATGTAGGCGCGCACCCTGAGACCAATAGCCTTGGAATCCCTGATCACCTCCTTGAAGCGTTCGAGCGATGTCTTGATATCACAATTGAGGTTCTTCTGTGTGAAGCTTTCGGTGGCAGCAGCAAACACGGCGACTTCAACACTTGGCTTAGTGGCGGCCTCGGCTCCAGCTGCTGGCTCCAGTTGTGTTGCAAACTTTCCGCTATTCGCATTGAGGACATCGACGGCAGATTTAAGGCCCTTGCCATTGGGTGCTAGGAAGGAATATGAGATCGGCCCGGGAGAAGAAACCTTTCCGTCGAGGATATGCTGCAATATTTCGCTGGAGTTGCTCATCTATAATAAAAGTGTCAGGTTGCTGAAGAGACATCGAATTAGCAACATTACCTGAGGCACCCATTTTGGAGCAACAAAGGATCCAGCTTCAATTGTAGAAACTCCTGTTCGGGCTAATCGTTCAATAAGCTCGATCTTGGTCTCCAAGGAGATTGCCTTCTTCTCATTCTGCAGGCCGTCTCGAGGCCCAACCTCGACGAGCCTAACCCGGTTATCATATGACTGATTGCTGGCCGTCGCAAGGCCTCTGTGCCAGCGAATTTGCTGCGAGCGGCGACATACTCTGCAAACGCTGGACCGCAGGAGGCTCATGGTTGGATATTTCGTGAGCAAGTGATGCAGGAGTCAATGTACGTTCAATTGAAAGAGGCAAAGAAGTAAGGTACTGTAGTGCCGAGCTTGGTGAGAGGTCTAAGTATTGGACGTGCAATCCGCGTACTATCGGCCCCCCCAACGTGGGCCGAGCTTCGGGCTTCGGTACAGTCATTTTACAGTTACAGTTAAAGGGCCAGGGCGGCTTTCTAAACCCGTTGTTCCCCGCATTGTTTAAACTTCCATGACATTGGAGTCCTTCAATGGCCGACGGATAATTTTGTTGTAAGGAGAGGTATCTTTGCATTATTACAACTACACTACTCGCAACTACAGTACTGCCTCACACAATGCCAACGGCTCAGACAAGGAAGCTGCAGAGGGGCAACCAATCCATGTACAGATTTTGGTCCTTTTTGACATTAAAACTCGTTTTGGCTTGACCTTTGTGAAAATAAGAAAATACACCTCTTTATCGTTGAAGGCTAAAACTGGGTAGAAGTCGGTATTCCAGTAATCGCATCCGTAACCGCTTAGTACTCAGCCTCAAGCTCCTCCTCACCCATGGAGTCAGTAGCGACCTCCTCGTAATCGCGCTCCAGGGCAGCAAGATCCTCACGAGCCTCGGAGAACTCTCCTTCCTCCATACCTTCACCCACATACCAGTGGACAAAGGCACGCTTGGAGTGCATGAGATCGAACTTGAGAGAAAGTGAAGACCATGCCTCAGCGATGGCGGTAGTATTAGAGAGCATGCAGCTGTTTTGGCGTTAATTTCTTGTTTCATTCATTACATGATAAGGAATCGACTTACACAGCGCGGCTGACCTTGGCGAGGTCGCCGTTGGGCACATTCTCGGGGGCCTGGTAGCAGATACCAAGCTTGAAACCAGTGGGGCACCAGTCGACGAACTGGATAGTTCGCTTGGTCTTGAGTGTAGCAACAGCAGCGTGGGCGTCGTTGGGAACGACGTCACCACGGTACAGCAAGCAGGTAGCCATATACTTGCCGTGGCGGGGGTCACACTTGACCATCTGGTTGTTGGGTTCGAAGCAAGACATTGTCATCTCTTGGACAGAGTTGGCTTCGTGGGCAGCCTTAGCAGCGGAGATGACGGGGGCGTAGGCGACCAGAGGGAAGTGGATTCTGGGGTAAGGGACCAAGTTGGTCTGGAATTCGTTCAAGTCGACGTTCAGAGATCCATCGAATCGCAAAGACGCAGTAATAGAAGAGACGACTATGTGTTGTTAGTCAACTGGCAACTGCATAGCCACCAACAGCTGTAACATACCCTGGGCAATAAGACGGTTCAGGTTCTCGTAGTTAGGGCGCTCGAGGCCGAGGTTTCGGCGGCAGATATCGTAGATGGCCTCGTTGTCGACCATGAAAGAGCAATCAGAGTGCTCCAGGGTGGTGTGTGTGGTAAGGATGGAGTTGTATGGCTCGACAACAGATGTGGCAGTCTGGGGCGCAGGATAAACACAGAACTCCAGCTTGCTCTTCTTGCCGTAGTCGACCGACAGGCGCTCCATCAGGAGAGCACCGAAACCAGAACCTGTACCACCACCGAAAGAGTGGAACACGAGGAAGCCCTGAAGGCCAACGCAGTTGTCGGCAACACGGCGAATCTTGTCGAGGACGCCATCGATGAGCTCCTTTCCGACGGTATAGTGACCACGGGCGTAGTTGTTTGAGGCATCCTCTTTGCCAGTGATCATCATCTCAGGATGGAAAAGGTTGCGGTAAGCACCGGTGCGGACCTCGTCGACGACATTGGGCTCCAAATCACAGTAGATGGCGCGGGGGACATACTTGCCCTGACCTAAAAATGAGGGTTAGAACAGCACAGCCGTCGAGTCCCAGATTAAACCATACCAGTCTCGGAGAAGAAGGTGCTGAAACCTTGATCGGGGTCTTGGGACTTTCGCTCCTCGGTGAGGTAACCATCGGGCTGGAGTTGGTAAGTATTTGGACAACGAGATGTTTGTTGACAAATCTAGGGGTTGTTGTGTACCTGGATACCGTGTTCGAGGCAGTAAAGCTAGAAAAACAATCAGTAAGGAGCAACATAAACAAAGACTTGACAAAACTCACCTCCCAGCAGGAGTTGGCGATTTGGCAACCAGCCTGTCCAACTATAGTAGCTCAGTTAGCATCGCAACAACAAAGCAGACGGAGATGCGGTGAAAGCCTAACACCAAAGGGAGGAACAGCTTACCGTTGATGCTAATGACCTCACGCATGTTTGCTGACGATAGTGTTTACGAGTATGAGATGGAGGAAGTCGATGCAATGCAAGAGCAGAGAAGAGGGACCACGAGAAAAGAGGAGGACAAAAAAGGACAGGCCAGACAAGGCTTTTACAGCGGGAAGAGAGGAGACAAGGCGAGGGCGAATGTTTGGTTTGGTGATAAGTTAGCGGAGTGGAGTGGACAGGATGGGAGAAAATAGGTGAGGTGGGGGAAATTTGGCAGACAGGGAGTCTTTGCTGCCCTGGGATTGGATTGGACCTTCTATGGATTTGTTGATTTGATTTGATTTCGAGGCGTGCCTGGGCTGAAAAGGGGCAAGCGCGTCCTGCAGCGCCCTGTTGGCGTTTTCCGCTGCCGGCGCCTGTTGGCCAGCTGCCAGTGCCCAGGGGTTGCCAAAAGGACCCTCTGGCCACCTACCGCTCCGTTGTTTCTATCTCCGTGGTTGTGGTTCTTTCGCTTCACCGCTCCATCAAAATTAACAGCTACAGAGAATTATTATGTCCAGCATTACGGAGTCATTGGGTAGAGGCTGGCACTGAATCTTATGGACCAGGCCGCCAGCGCCAGCACACTCAAGTTGAGATATTGGTGTCTCTCTTAGACGATGATCCATGGGTCCATATTTACCACTGTCGAACGACATCTCATCTCGGGCTGTTGAGGCGTTCATTTCGCCTGTGTCAATTATAATTAACCTCATATCCAAGCCAGGTGTTTGAACATTGAACAGCCTCTAATCCATTTCATCAAAAGAAAATATCATAAGCAATTCAATTACTCTTATTCTTATTTTACATCCTTTCACAGTACTCTATTTCTTCACTGGAAGATGGTTGCAATGATCCCGGTTGGGTACCATGTTCATTTGTTTACATCCCTGTTGCTATATCTACAGTACGTACCCGGAACCATAACTCCTTTGCCGTTACGTCCGCCTTGTACCTTTATGAGTTTCTCTAAGACATGGTTAAGGGGCAATTGTGTTCACAGGTCTGTAATAAGGCAGGTAGGTAGGTAGGTAGGTTGTCATGATATCTAAGCAGGTGTCATTTGAAAAACTTACAACTGCCGTTCGTTATCACCTCGAGGCTCGAGCTCAGTCGATGATCTTCATTATGGTCTGTGATGTGTCAAACCACCAAAGGCCCAAGCTTTACCGATCAGGAGTATGCACGGCCTCATTTCAACATTTTATTTCCTCTATCTACCAATATGAACTTGCGAAATGTGTTAGAATGACAAAGCGTGCCAGAGCATATCACTATGAGAATATTGCCATTTCACGCTGAAGATCGGGAAAACATAGTTCTATGATAGTCAAAGTGCAACATTGAGCTGTTCAACAGCACAGTGGTTTTTGTCTGCGAAAAAAGTATGACAATTCACTTATCATGGCCAACGCATTTCTGGCAGACTCGCATGTTATATGCAGTCAAGACCGCTCGATAGGTGTGTATGCCTCTGTGCTGAGACATACAAATGTTTCCATACCACTGGAACCTTATAATAGAACTCATCAAGTTCGATATGGATGACTGCGGGGCAGTTGGTAAATATCACACGTGACGCTTTTGATCAACACCTTGTGCTTTTGTTCCTGACCTAGTTCTTGCACACTGCAAGGATAACAATTAGAGGGCAAACACGGGTCTCCCAATCGCCAATATGCTATCTCTCGGGAGGGGTCAGATAATATACGCTCTGAGCGGCTTGTTGTTTTTTCTTAGCCCGGCCATCGCCAATGTTGAAAAGACAATCTTCACAGCTCCTACATCACTCCCTATTCCCCAACAGAAGCCATCGCTGGCTGATCTTAGACTACCCATCCTCAGACCAGACAACCCAAATATTCGAACAAATATCAGCCGCATCTTTCCCTCTGAGCCAAAGGATTACGCTTCCGGCGCGGCAACATGGGTGCTTCTTGATAACCTAAACCAGGGCCAGCGGTATGAGTTTCGTGTCTGTTGGGCTGCGATTGTAAGTCAACTTGAGATTTACGTACAGAAAGTAAGCTAATTCGTGTGCGCCTCCAGCAACCTACTGGTTTTGACTTGGGTGTATATGAGCTGGACACTGTGTGGCAGACACCAGAGCTGATTCAGTCTCTTGCCAGCTACTCGTTTTCACGCCAGGATCAAGAAACTGGATTGACAAAAGAGTCAACTCAAACCGGAGTCAGGGAGCGCGAGGCTTCCGTTCTTCTGCTACAGATCAAGGCATCTGCTGACTACTTTACTAACGACGCGGCTCTTATGAAGGATCCTTCACCTGTACTTGTAGATCTCATCCTCGACCCCTATCTATATGGTGTTGTACCCCGTTCTCTAGTCCCAACAGCCGGCTATCTTGTTCTCGTCGGCGCAGTGGCTTGGTTTGTGTCCAGATCCATCGCCTCTAAGTTACAGACAATTGCAGTCATGACCGATGGCGCAAACAAGAAACAGAATTGATGAAGGGAGGGTTGGCACCATCGGGCTCTCAACCCTAGATGCTAAAAGAGGGCTCGGTGAAATGCATTCTACTATCTACGTTAATCATATTGCTCGTAACTTCTCCAACTTCACATCACTCTCGTCGGCCCTCTAAAGAGCTTCGATATCTATACTGGTTTCGACACACATCTTTATCGATAAACACTTTCATATCGAGCATCCAATTGTCGGATGTGACAGGAAGGCTATAAATTTCGGCTCGGAATATTCTTGCGATCTCATACCAAAACGATCAGGTGGTCGATAACCCAAAAGAGTGGCATAAATACTACGGTTGTTCCGTACAGGTTCAGTGCAGTCTCTCAGTAAGCTCCTCCATACTGAGGGTGGGAACCATGGGGTACAGGAGGAGCGCCACTGTTGAATTGCGACTGGCCACCGTAAGATTGCTGGCTCCCCTGGCTTGCGTTATAGGAATGGTTATATCCTCCGGAAGCGGCTCCAGGTGGAGGAGGAGGGAAATTCTGACTGCCTGAGCTTGGCGGTGGTGCGCTATAACCTTGTGACTGCTGAGCATGTTGATCAGGCGGACCGCCAAACTGGCCGCCGTGCGCTTGAACATCAGGATAGCCTGTACCAGAAGACGGCTGGTGTGGCTGTTGTCCAGGGGGTGGAGGGAAATATTGTTGTCCCTGTTGTGCATTTTGTCCATGCTGAGGAGGGCCCCCCGGGGGCGGAGGAGGGAACGAATTGTTCGAAGAGCCATGAGGGCTCCCACCAAAAGAAGAGTTGCCTCCATACTGCTGGTTCGAGCCGGGCTGCTGCTGGTGACTTCCATAAGGGCCATTCTGACCTGGCTGTTGCTGATGCGAGCTGTACTGTTGGCCTGGCCCAGAGTGTTGCTGACCACCATACTGCTGGTTTCCGCCAGGCTGTTGCTGATGCGAGTTGAAAGGCTGATGAGAACCCGGCTGCTGCTGCTGCGATCCGTATGGCTGAGTCTGGTTAGGTTGGTGTTGAGAACCGTACTGTTGGTTCGAGCCATGCTGTTGATGTTGGTTTGGGGATGGAGAGCCATAGGAGTGCACTCCAGCCGCGGGGGGCGCTGAAGGAGCTGAAGGAGCTGAAGGAGCTGAGCCTGTAGGATTGTAGGTCGGAGCCTCGCCAGAATACGTTCCACCACCGCCCTGCTGCTGTTGCGGCTGTTGCCCAGAGCTGTAGCCAAAGTTGGAGTTTTGTCCCTATCGCATGATTAGTCTTGCGCAAATGGTTCACACTGCTGTTATAAACATACACTGCTGCCGTGTTTGCCGCCAAACATAGTCGCGACACCACCCATAAGCTGCCCGGCTAGGCCTCCCTGATGATGGCTTGAGGTCTGGTTGGAACTGCCATGGTAGTTTTGGGGGGCAGGAGGCTTCTCTTGACTAGCCGAGTGCATAAAGCTCGACGCCAGCTGCCCAACAAGCTTTCCTGCACCCGAGGGCTTGTTTCCTCCGTTGCCGCCGCCACTACCACCATGGCTACCGCCGAGGAACTGGTTTGCAAGGCCGCCGAGATTGCCCAATGGACTAGAGCTGTGGCCACCGCCGCTGCTACCACCATGACCAGAGTTCTTTCCGCCGAGCAAAGCGTTCATAGCCATGCTCTGACAGATTGTTAGCATAATTCAACACTATCGACAAATGCCAAGACGACATACTCCAAGACCCCGTTCACCGGAGGGACCATCTACACCTCGGGTGCCGTCCGGCATAATTGGTTCCATGGTACCGTCTGCATGGCGCACAGTTTGCGATCCATCAGGATGTGTGATGAGTTCCGAACGTTTGGGAGCGCCGTAAGGATGTTCGCCCTGGGGAGCTGGTGTATTTCCCGTTTTGGCCGGTTCAGTAGGAACCTCCCACTGCGAAACACCAGTCGATAGCTGTACATAATAATATTTCTTGCTTGTGCCATCCCATTGAGCAATCCAACCTGCGGGCAGCGGGGGAGGAGCAAACGTGGGGCCTTCGGCCTGAGGAGAGGCAGGACCAGTCATGTTCGAGATACGGTATAGGTAGGTAAAGATATTGTATGTAGCGGTCGAGGCGGGGAGATGTCGCAAATGGAGGGGTCGTAGATAAGGTGGGCAAAGGAGGAAGAAATTGTCGCGTGGTGAGGGTGAAGGGGTGGTTGAAGACGGAAGTCCGTCACTGAGCGAAAAGGGCCGCAGTCATGAAGAGTGTAAAATACAAGAGGCGGGAACAAAACAAGAGACGAGGTGAGGTTTAGATGGTGTCGCCTCTAAACTAACCCTGGGTGGTGGAGGTTAATAAGGCAGGCTTAGCTTGACTGGGCTAAGCTGGAGGAGGGGCTCCCTCTTTCGCCGCCAAGATCGATTGATGGGAAGGGACCCTCAGCGAGGGAAAGACCCACTTTGGGTTGTTGTGCTGGGTTCCATTCGATGAATAGGTACCTAGCGGTTAGATCAGGCGTCTCCAGAGTTGTTCCAGCGAGTATCAATGGAATCGAGTCGCAAATACCAACCCAACTTGGTCCAGTGTGTTCATCAACCAGGACACCAATTTCGTTCGTATAGACAGTTAAGTTCGCAACCTCTTTATGTCTCTCACCATCGGGCTTTGGTTAATCAATTCAACGATATGTACTCCTGAACTCCCATTAGCTTCATCTCACCATCCAAAAGACCCGGGCTTCTATGCCTATGGGTGACTACTAAGGTCGTTGGATCAAGCACAGCCCCGCCAGCAGCCCAGCAGACAAAAACTTACACTCTATGGGTACTGTATATATACTGTCTGATTAGGCCATTCTTGGTGCTGATGAATTTCTAATGGTATAGCTAACCAATCACAACCTTCCACAACTTAACAACACACTGTGCACGTTGCTGTTGTTGGTGTCATGCTAGATGGTCGGCTTCACCTAGTACCTACGTAGGCATCACAGCCCCTCTCGCAACAACACAAGACACCAGAAGTGGCCTCCATCCTCCACGATCTGCTACCAAATGATCGTTTATGTTTACGTGTCGCAGGCGGCCTCTCCTCATCCGACGAAGCCCATAACAAACCCCATTAGCCGACCTAGGGTAGTAAAGCCCATACTTGTTTTATCGTCATTGCTCTCCCCATTATGTGCACATAGTATTATCTGGAATCATCGTTCCACAAGTCTGAGTAATGACTACTTCAAGTACTTGACAAAGAGCGCATCGCGCTAGATCTTTGTTGTTTTCCGTATCAGGTCTCACATGCGATGTGCAATGTTCTACAATTTACAATCACAGTCACGGCGAAACAAGTGTTTTGAAAGATCCATGAGTCTGATTCCTATTCCAGTTATTGTACATGAAGATGAAAACTCCCAAATCCGTCCATCCACACTTCCAGAACGTCAAGCAAGGTATATTCCGGTCCAACCCTTGACTCTATTTTGTTATCCTTCCTCTTGACATTCTGAATTGCAAGTCAGCTCGAGTTCAAGATAGCCTTAGACCTGGCGACCTCGAATGGCGAGTCGGCGGCCGAAACCAAAGGCCATAGCCGAGCTCTTGTTGCCAGAGCAGGTAGTACCAGCGGCCATAGATTGAACAACAGACCAGCGACCGGAAGCGCAACGCTGATACTTGGTTCCACCAATGCAGTTCCATGCGCCCTCATCACTGCATGCAGCACCAGCAGTCTCTTCAGAACCGGAGCCAGAGCCACCCTCACCTGCACCAGTGCCAGGAGCAGTGGGAGTGGTCGGAGCAGGCTCAGGGCTACCAACGCTGGTAGGAACAAGCTGACCCCCAGTTCCAGGAGCAGGTTTGGTCACGGTCAAGAGAGTGCTGGTTGCGGCGGGAGCTGAAGGAGCAGGGGCACCAGTAGCCTCAGCGGGCTGAGAGACGGTGACGAAAACACCTCCGGGACTATGAATTTGTGAGTCAGGGGCATTACCAATAGAAGAGGGAGAGGGTTCATACGCTGAAGGGGCGCCGGCAGCGGGAGCTGATGGCTGAGCAGCAGGGGCTGAAGGTTGAGCAGCAGGCTGAGTTTGAGTAGGGGCAGCGGGGGCACTTGGGGCAGCACCGCCGTTGCCGCCATTGTTTCCACCGTTGTTGCCGCCAGCAGAGCCGTCAGCGGGAGTGCTAGGAACAGCACCGTTGTTGCCATCACCAGAGCCGGAGCCAGAGCCGGAGCCACTGCCAGATCCTGCCTTACCACAAGTACCCTTGGGGCCAGCAGTCTTCTGGGAGTCGTTGCTCACATCAGGACCAGGATCGGGGAATTCGAGATCGGACGACTCCTCGGTAGTGCAGCCGTTGCCGACGTTAGCAACGAACATCTCAGGGCGGTTGCTCATGGCATCTGCTCGCTTGCCAGAGCCACCACCAATAGTAACGGCAGCGCAGTTCATGTACATTTCACGGTTGCCGATCTGGTTGAACCACGACCAGGCGAAGATAGCTTCACCGGATGGAGCGTCGCTGGGAACCTTGAAGTCGAAGGTGGTGGTACCAGCACCAGGACAGTTGCCGATGTATGAGTGGATGACCTTCCAGGACTTTCCCTTGTCGTAGGAAAGGGAAGCCTGGCAACTGCCACCACCGTGGTTAGCACCGCCAGTGATGCTCATGTTGTAGGAACCGCCGGCTGCCCAGTCTGCGACCGAGGCACCCTCCTTTGTACCAAAGAGGGAGTGGTAGCCCTTGCAAGGGAAATTGGCGCCGCTTGCGTCGAGAGGGGCGGTCATGCTGTAGTCGACATCGCTACCAGCATTGGGGTTGGCTTTTGACTTGAAGGGGGGAGGGTAAATCATCTCCATATGTGCCTGGGCTAGACCAGCCAGACCGAGGCAGACGGCGACAGATGGGAAATGCATTTCGTCGCAGTTGAAAAGGTGTGATAGAAGTAAAGGTAATGTGCGAGGGTATCTCGGAAAGAAATTGTTGTTGACACGATTGTGTTGTTGTTGAGTGTTGCTCAGATATTGCTGCAGGAGTTTGAGTAAATCCTTGTGGTGAGTCTTGCAGGATGAAAGACTCTTGAAAGGATCGAAGCGGTTTTATATTGAGCCTGGCTTGTCTTTTGAGATTTTTCGGGCTGTCCGTTGTTCGAGTGAACTGATAATGAATGGTGAACCACAGGTGCGGGTTCTGTTGCAGTTGTTATTGTTCGGTGGTCGAACAGTGAATCAAAGGATTGTGGGTAGTTGAACAACAGTGTTGGTAAAGTAAAGAAAGTGACGAGGGACAATAAGATCCCAACACGAGCAAGGTGAAGAATATTTGTTACTGTATGGTAGAGAGAAAACAACAGTGACTGTACACGAGGAGTGACAAGCAGTGGCGGGCACAGATGGGTTAAGCGATCTTGTTTTCTCGAACAGGTCGACGGCGTCAGACGGGAGGCTCCAGGTTACACAAAGGCCGAGTTCTTGTACGTTGTTCAGTCGGTGAGTTGATGAAAGCTGTCGTTCAGAAAAAGATACCAGTGTCCGTTACAAACAGGATGGACTGGGGTAGAAGAAGTGAAGAAGAAGTTTCTTGATTGTGAGGGAATGTATCCAGCCCGTCAAGGGAGAGTCAAGAAGAAGAAGAAGAAGAAGAAGAAGTGAAGAAGAAACAAGCCAAAAAGGGACCGTCTGGAGATAGAATCCTGAGCTTTGCTGCAGATGGAAAGAAAGAAAGAGGATTTTGGAGGTTGGGGAGGGCCTCTTATGTAGTGCTCCGTACGATCATAACCACTTTCCTTTACCCACCAGGTCTGGCAGGTCAGGATGTTTCAGTCGTTTCGTTTCGGCTGCCTCTAAGCCAAGACACAGCACAACACAGCACAGCACAGAGCAGAGTCAATAACCGGACGGATCCTTGACAGTAGTTGACTAACTAATCCAAACCAATCGTCTCCTGAATCGCAGCGCGGCAAAGGTCGAGCGAATTAGTCGCTCTCGTTGTCCGTCTTTGCCCCCCTTGCAGACTCGCAGAGCCAGGGCCTCCGACTCCACAGAGCATGAACTACCCAACTACACAGCCCGGACGTAAGTGCCATCAAGAGGCGGGAGGGTCCTTTAGGATCGACGTTATTCCCTTGACTCGCCAGGAACAGTTTTCGGGGAGCGAAGCGACTGGCGGTGGGAGCGTCTCGACTGTGGGCGTCTATGTCGCATGTGTCTGGAGACCCCCTTGGGAGCCGGCGCCTAATGGCAAGCAGATGATGATTCTCCTACCTACCTACCTACCTACCTACCTATTCAGTAGTCACGTCATGGTACTTCTGATACCTAATACCCATAAATCATTTCCGTTCCTTTCTATCGCCATCCTTGGTTGCATGTATCTCATGCCATTGTTCTCTGTGTAGGTACGTAGGCGAAAGCGTTGATGTTGAAAAGAAAAGTGGCCCCCCTTGGACAGAGGCGCCGGGCCAAGAATTCGAAACCGATCTTTTCCCCACATGCCCTTGCTCTTCTAAGCACAGACTCTTCGATTATCATGCTCAACCTCAATAGAAGCCTCTAACTAAGCCTCTTAAGCGTTTAGACAGGGACAAGCGACACCTGATACACGAGTCGTTGGTCTAGCCCTTTTTCCTTTTCTCTCTTTTATTAACTGTCTTGCTTTCTGTATGAATACAGCATGTGCTCTAATTAAATGTTGTAATTCATCTCGTAATACCTCATCTTCAATCATGGCACTCTTGCATGTGCTGCTTGCTTCGTAGATCTCTTATGCCGTGTTTGCCTGCCATGCGCCGGGCTACATGATGTGAGACCTGACGCGGCCCGTTTGTCGCTCGCCTTTGTTGCCACCTAATATTGGTATGTTTATAATGACGTTCCCTGTTGTTTCGTTGTTTCGATCCTTCTTTATGCTCATCCTCGCCGAAATACCCGTCTCGCCTTCAGATGGAACGAATGTCATCCTTTCAGCACGTCTATGTAGACTAGAGACATACTCTGTCACGGGTGTAAGTCGTCAAATCGCAAGGATTGGTCCACCTTTCACCTTGGTTGGAGGCCCGAGTTCCGCACTTCTTTTTTGGTCAAAGGGCAAACAAGGATCAAAGGATGAAGCAAGCCTACGTGACCGACTAGGGTCACCTCAGCCAATCATGTTTTGAACCCTTCCCTGTCGCCTCGAAAGCTACCCGCGACCTAGAAATGCATTGATTGGGCTTGTACCTGAGTGAAACGCGCCATCTGCAATGGCTTCAGGGGAGCCAGATCGGGCAACGGCGATCCTTTTACCTGAGATGAAATTTACCTTTCTTCTAACTGAAGCAAAAAATGAACAACATCATGCATCTGAGATTTACGATTATCAATAGGATCAAGTCGCTGCTAGCGACTTGCCTGTTAGGGATACTCGTGAGAAATTCATAAACAACAATACGTAACAACACAATTTAACACTTGCAAAGGTACCAAACCCGAAACTTGGGTTATCGCGATTCGAGCAGGTCAAGTCAAATCTGATATGACTTCACGTGAAGATGTGTAATAGTAATGGCCCCTTTCATCTCCAACGCAATTCTAGAAAAGCAGTTCCAAGGGTCCAAAACCACAATATCTCTTGGCGGAGCACGTGAGTCATTGTTCTAAGTGCCGGATATGCTTGGCTTGTGGTTACGCAACAAATTAGAGACACTGAATGACAAATGAGTTCGAGGTACACAATCCATCCATAATGCCAGTTGACAGAGAGTATTGGAAAAAAAAAAAAAAAAAAAGCGGCGTGAACCCCCCCCCCCCCCGAATCGTGATTCAATATCACAAAAGATCCATTACATTACCTGCACGAGGTAAATAGAGTCAACAACCGTCTCGTCTAATAATTCGATACTCTGCATCTACCCTGTAGACTATACGTTACCAGCCGCTGTTGTCGACACTAGATGCACTTCATGCCGATCCAATCAGTCAACCCGTAGTAAAATACAGCAACACATCACATCACATCATCACATGAATGTATACGCTGTGCACACGCAATATGCGGGTCTTTGACTCGGAAACTCGATATTGAGCCATGGCTGCCATCCATGATCACTCCTAGCGATTCGAGCCTTTTCTTGTCAACCAGGTAAAGCCGATTTGTTATTCCCCCTGTAGGGCAGGGGCAGGGTCCGTTGTTGATGATCGTCTACTAGGGGGACCCGCAGTTCCAAGCCTTCAACGGCTGAGTGGACAGTTCCCTTAACACCTTAACCGTCTGGACACAGGGAAGGATGGAAATGCAACGTTGCTGTCACTGGACATAGCGTTTGGAATAACAAAGATGAACTCTATTTAGAAATCCGAAATAGACTGAAAGAAGCTCAAGAAAGTCAGACAGGCACGCTATGCAATTGCTTGATTATTTCCATATTGCTGCTGCTGTAGGGTACTAAACTAAAGTAGCCGAGAGGTACGTTTAGGCAGTACTCTCAAACCCATACAAAGTCAACTGCCGAGCCGGTGACATTAAAATCATCCGCTGTCATCCGTCTGTTACTATGTAGATCCTTATTCTTCTCTCGCCCAGGTAACATTTCACCTGGCTTGACGTGTTCTTTTTCTCATTGATCTTGGTACTCTCTCACATCGGCATTGTCCGGAAATGTTCAGCCGTGTTCCTTGTCCCGCCCGATCCCCTGTTTTAACATGCCCTCCTGTGTTTGAAAAGTCGCCAGGGTGACGAATGGCGTGAGTTCCCACTCGTCCAGCCGCGCGTGTATGCATGTGAGAACTGTAAATAGCCGAGGTACTGAGAGTATTGACCTCGCCCTCTACTGCCTCCGTAGGTAGGCTCTTACCTTCCAGTTCTTGGCGGTAACTTGATGCAAGATACCTTATCGACCTCCCTCTAGTAATCCTTCTGCCACTAGAAAGCATAAGGTATCGAACATTTTCTTGGCTACTGACAAGCTACGATACTGTAAACTCATGGTTGTCGATGCCGAGACCTAAGTAGTCAGCCAGTGCTTATGCATTACTATATCGAACATATTGTTCAATGACAATCCGACCTGAAGATCCAATGTCATTGAGAAGTCGTTCAACTGATGGCATAGAAAGCATCCCTCTACCTAGGTAATCACCGTAATGTTCAGCTTGGTGGGTAAATAGTCACTATCGCACACATCTTCAAGCTGCTTGCACATGTGAAACCAACATGGACATAGTCCTTTGTTTTATTTTACCATCTGGCTACTTGTGCTGTGTTGTAGATGGTTAGACAATGTTTGATGGGCGAATGCCTTTGCTACTATTCGCTGCCTTCCTTTGCGTCGCGTCGCTTGATCTTGTCGATTCGACTACTCGACCCTTCTCCTCACAACCAGACCACACTCTAATTCCTTAGCTGCCTCCTTGGTCACTACTCTTAGCAAATACTGTCAAAAGATTCGAAGGCATAAACTATTCAGCAACCACCAGAACACTCTCAATGGTGGCATTGCAGTTAGCTCTGGGTTTTGCCTGAAAACGGATTTGCACTGAGTCATTCCCCTAATCAACATCTGCTCTTACTTGGGCGACAGAATACCACCCTCAGGCCTCACCTACCACTACCCAGGTTGCCTCGCAGGTGTCGAGGGTTACCAGTCCAGATGTTTGGTGTTCGTGTCCCCGCACCCAAGTTGCCTAGGTCACCACCCCAGCCTGTTCGACTACGCTTCCTCAATGCTTGTCTGCTCGAGGAAGCACTGAGAGCAGAGACGAGCACTCCGACGCCCCGTTTGTCCACTGTTGCCAAGGTACAACCAAACAGCATTGCCGACTCCATTGCCATCCAATCAACAAGATAGCAGATGGAAAATATTAATGTCGTTTCATCTCTTCCACAACCGACACCATCCACCGAGCCGTACCGTCCATCAACCCAATGATGTATTTGCTGG